AGAATTGATAAAGAGTATCAAACAAAACAGTTCGACGGACGAACTGATTGGTTGAAGTACGGTTAATTCTATTAAGGTATTCTGAAAATCAAAATAGCCGATCTGCATATGATGTATATTCTTAATTAATTATAATTCGTTGTGTTTAATTACCTATGTACATCTGAATCAGACGTCTGAATCAGACGCGTGGACTATATAATCCCCTCTTTGGGTGATTTTTATGTATGATTTTTTATGGTTATCTGGTTCACCCGTATCCAATATTTGTTGATTATGAATTAATAAGTATTGCATACATATTCCCCTAAAACCTGAGCTGAATTCCTTACACCGCCTTTGATCTCACAGGTGTCAGATGATTCACTGCGAGAAGCGAGAACTGTCCGGCTTGCCTGCACTTTTTTCACTCCTCCCCTCACTGCAGCCGCCTACTCTCGCATACATTTCAGGCGAGGCAAGGCGCATCTTCTCAAACAAGCCTAATATGTTATCGATAATCACCTTAAACAATATCGCGATATTCGATTATATCGTCTACCCAAAGACCCACCCCCGACACGCCCCGCCGGAGACATCACTGGCGACATACACCATAAACAAAACATGTTGAGTTTGGCTGCACTTTATCTAATTATAGCCTGGAATTCAGCTAGTTTAATTTAATGATTGAAACGTTAAAGGTTTTACTTTGGTTAGTTTGAGCTTGAACGAACATAAGTGTTAGTGTTGCTAATAATTTTCACACTGTTCTTATCGCATATGTGTTTGAAACGAATTTCGTTTCGCGAGGAGAAATGTTGAATACAACTGAACAGAACAGACCCCAGTTTGGTGATTGTAAGAATGGTGAATGCATGTTGATGTCAAGGTGTCTTGCCTATTTGTTTTTCATAATGTCCGATGTTTCTCTTTCTTTTTTTGGCGTTATCGCCTGATTTAATGATGATAAGTTTAATTTCCTAATTATAACGTGTAGCGCTGTTTTTAAACTTGTATTCAAACTATAATATATTTGTTATTTGTCTAAAATTAGGGATTAAAACGAATTGTTTTGTTCTGCATGAGCAAAAACTTTTTTTCCCCCTCCTTTCTGGCTTTAGAGTTCCAAGGTCTCCTTAAACCGCTTACAAAATAAAAAACACTGCTTTATTTATTTAGAAACAGAAGTCATTAATAAATATATTTGGGTATTTTTTTATTTATTTTTGTTCATTTTTTAATCTAAAGCAAAGTACACTCACCTAAAGGATTATTAGGAACACCTATTCAATTTCTCATTAATGCAATTATCTAATCAACCAATCACATGGCAGTTGCTTCAACGCATTTAGGGGTGTGGTCCTGGTCAAGACAATCTCCTGAACTCCAAACTGAATGTCAGAATGGGAAAGAAAGGTGATTTAAGCAATTTTGAGCGTGGCATGGTTGTTGGTGCCAGACGGGCCGGTCTGAGTATTTCACAATCTGCTCAGTTACTGGGATTTTCACGCACAACCATTTCTAGGGTTTACAAAGAATGGTGTGAAAAGGGAAAAACATCCAGTATGCGGCAGTCCTGTGGGTGAAAATGCCTTGTTGATGCTAGAGGTCAGAGGAGAATGGGCCGACTAATTCAAGCTGATAGAAGAGCAACTTTGACTGAAATAACCACTTGTTACAACCGAGGTATGCAGCAAAGCATTTGTGAAGCCACAACACGCACAACCTTGAGGCGGATGGGCTACAACAGCAGAAGACCCCACCGGGTACCACTCATCTCCACTACAAATAGGAAAAAGAGACTACAATTTGCAAGAGCTCACCAAAATTGGACAGTTGAAGACTGGAAAAATGTTGCCTGGTCCGATGAGTCTCGATTTCTGTTGAGACATTCAGATGGTAGAGTCAGAATTTGGCGTAAACAGAATGAGAACATGGATCCATCATGCCTTGTTACCACTGTGCAGGCTGGTGGTGGTGGTGTAATGGTGTGGGGGATGTTTTCTTGGCACACTTTAGGCCCCTTAGTGCCAATTGGGCATCGTTTAAATGCCACGGCCTACCTGAGCATTGTTTCTGACCATGTCCATCCCTTTATGGCCACCATGTACCCATTCTCTGATGGCTACTTCCAGCAGGATAATGCACCATGTCACAAAGCTCGAATCATTTCAAATTGGTTTCTTAAACATGACAATGAGTTCACTGTACTAAAATGGCCCCCACAGTCACCAGATCTCAACCCAATAGAGCATCTTTAGGATGTGGTGGAACGGGAGCTTCGTGCCCTGGATGTGCATCCCACAAATCTCCATCAACTGCAAGATGCTATCCTATCAATATGGGCCAACATTTCTAAAGAATGCTTTCAGCACCTTGTTGAATCAATGCCACGTAGAATTAAGGCAGTTCTGAAGGTGAAAGGGGGTCAAACACAGTATTAGTATGGTGTTCCTAATAATCCTTTAGGTGAGTGTATAACACTCCGATTAGGCCTATTTATTATGTGCAACATTTAAATTAATATTCAGAAATGGGTAAAGTTACTTCTACCATTTTTTTTTCTGATGAACTTTTATTATACTGCAAACCAAAATAAAATATTGGAGATATCTCTGCTATTCTGAATTAACAGGATAGTTTTTTTTTTTTCGTCTGCAGAACAACAACAAAAAAAAGTATAAAAACGAATAGCATACAAATAAAATATTCATAAAAAGATCAAGAAATCCAGAAAAAATGTTTAACAGAATTACGAAAGTAGCCTAAGGATAAATGATGTTTGACGTTGGAGCAGTCAGCGGCGAACAACAGGCAAATAAAATATTAAGCTAATTAAAGTTACAAAGTGATTTTCTTTTTCTTTTGTTCTTTGATCAACATTAAATGTTGTCAGCGAGTATAGGCTGTCAATGCACTGATTCAATAGACATAGGCCTACTGTTCAACCATTTAAGACAAAACCGACGGGGATATTTTGAACTTGAAAAATGGTGTGTACTGACGTCTTTCCGTGGTTGAAACAATTCTTCTGATGTTTATTCATGTTTATTTGATGCTATAAATTAACAAGAAGGATATTTGTGAGATATAATTGTGTGTGTACAAAGTGTTTTCTTTGGCGCGTCTTGCGCTTAAAGAACGCTATCAAGAAGAATCGATTTTCTATTCCTAACCCTACTAACTAGTCTATAGAAAATATTTAATTCATGCTATTGCATGTGAATAAATATGTGTATAACTATAGGGCTATGTGAAATATATGTCTTTTTTTTTTTTTTTTTTACGATTATCGTCTGGAAACAGACATCGCAATACTTGCGAGACATCGTCGATATACGATAATATCGTCATATCGCCCCAGCCCTATTGTGTAGTCAGCTTCATTGATTATAACGGAACTTTTCTATAACTAAGATGAGTAACCGTTTTTGGTTTCACTTTATTTTTAAGGGTCCCTTTAACACATTCTGTTGACTAAGTAACGTTGTATTAGTAGTACAGTATTAGTAGACTGGTAGGGTTAGGTTTAGAATAAGTTGACATGTAGTTGCAAAGTTACTTATAGTCAGTAGAATGTCTGTTGGGGGACCATCATAAAGAGTTAGCAGATATTAAGCAGACAGTCTATTAATACTCTAATGACAGTTAGTTGACAAATGTAGTTGCAAAGTTACTCATAGTCAACAGAATGTTTAAAAGGGACCATCAAAATATACCAAATCCCACATACAGTATACTTGCTTTTCAGTTAAAATTAGCAGTGGTTTGTGAAACCTAGCCACTTTAGTTAAAAATGATTTATCGGGAGCATTTATGCTCAATATGTGGATGTTTCTAATCTTTTCAACTGAATTTCTGAGATTAAGACATGTATCTATTAATTTTTTGTTTAAATAGTTCTAAAACTTAAGTCAAGCCCCTTGGCTCTCCCCAACAACTGTGTAATGCTGGCTCAATAGCTTTCCCTGTTGATAGTGTTTCCTTAAAGGCAGGGTAGGCAGTTTGTTTCTAAAACACTTTTTCCCAAGAACTGTCTTTATATACCAATACATATCTAAAATGTAAGTACTCTGAAAAGGAGAGTATAAAAATCAAGTGTCTGTAGTCCTCTCAGGGCTGCAATAAACACAGCTACTCTGTCCATTCGGAACGAATGCAATGATTGGCTGGGCAACTGTCACTCCCCCTCGCTACCATGGCTACCACCCCTGCTGCTACAGGAGCTGCCCACATGCGCGCACCCGGTTGACTCGCTCATTTTGAAAGAGGAGAGGCACGTACCGGCATGTCCTCCAGCTGAGCGGTCGGCATCACGCGTTCATGTGTTTTGGGGGCGTAGCTTTGGAAGGAGCCCAGAAGGGAGGGGGTGGGAGTTTCTCTGTTGGATACTTTCAAAATCCAGCAGTTTTCTGCTAGTTTCTTAAACTTACCTACCCTGCCTTTAAGTTACAAATAAAAATAAAAATCGAGTCATCTTTGATGCCAGTCTGTCATTCAAGCCTATTGTGCAGAACACTGTTAAGACCTCCCTTGAATAATAAGAAATGTTTCTTGAGCAGCAAAATCAGCATATTAGAATGATTTCTGAAGAATAGTGACACTGAAGACTGGAGTAATGATGCTGAAATACATCACAGAAATAAATTACATTTTAAAATATATTCAAATAGAAAACATTTATTTTAAATTGTAATAATATTTCACAATTACTGTTCTTACTCTATTTTTGATCAAATAAATTCATCATTGATGAGCATAAGAGACTTCTTTAATAAAACATTTTAAAAATCTTACCGACCCCAAACTTTGGAACAGTAGTTTATGTGATACTGAACATGGGCAGCACTTATTGTACTATATTATGCTACAACAACAAAAAAAAAAAAAAAAAATCATGATATTGCCATGGTTCTGTCTCCATAAACATCATACTTGTATATATATTTTTGTAAACACCAACTGTTATGAGTATAAACTATGGAAAGGTTCCAATCCTGTATTAAATGAATACTCACTACTGGAATGTTTCATTGAATTTTGGAGACCAGTTGTTATTCTTGGTTTTGGTGCTAAACTTGCGTTTCTTGTCCGCCAGGTGTGGGCCGATGGCGTTGATCTCCACGAAGGGGCGAAACATAGCATTGGTCTGCCAGTTGATATTGTTCACACCCACAACTGCAGAGAAGAAGAGGATGGTCTCGAGTTAGATCATCAAACACTACAGAGTGGGTCGTCTAGACTCTAAGATTGCAAAGAGAAATCCAACATGGAACTTCCAGACCTGCTCTGTAAAATAGATGCTGTATTATAAAACATCATTATGAATCTAAAATCAGATGAGGCATGTTTGAAGCTTTTGCAAAATTGCAGACAAGAAATGATAGGGAAAATAGACCCATCAGGCCACATGTTTGATAATTTAATTTAATATTAATGTGCAAAGTTGCTTGGCAACAGTAAACAGCCTACAGATTAATAAACTATAGTTTAATTAATGTAATGTATACAATAAATCATGGAGAATAATTCTGAATATTATAATGTCTGTTTTGTGATGGGCCTCAAATTCATACATTAAATTCATAATAACACAATGTCACTGGTATTGGTTTGATTAGAAAAGGTTTTTTTTTTTTTTTTTTACGGGCTAGTTAGCTAGTCTGTTTTATTACGTTGTGGTTGCGGGTCATTAATTGAGCAGCAGCAAACGAATCTCACAATCCAAACACTTTATCAGTGAAATTACACAAACTGATTAAATGGATATAAAGTCAGAGAGGCAAAGAGAAACATGCCAATTCGATTCATTTAGACCTCAGAGTTTCTTAATCATTAATTAATCGCTGTGTGTGTGTGTGTTACCTTTGACGCTGACTTTGTGCTCTCCAGTACCGGGGTGTGAGATCAGGTCCACCTGGATGGCGACCTCCCCGTTGGATGCAGTCGTGGACTGACCTGGAATCAGTGTTGAGTCACATGAATTTCATACTGTACGTCACATAAGAGCAAGCATAACACACTGACCCACACACCAATATACAATAAAACCATAGAAATCAGTGGTCAATTATGATGTTGTAGATTTGTATACACTGTGATCCAAATGAATTATTATGCAAGTGACATATCAGTAGGGTTTCAGTACAATAAACATTCAAAACATTTTTTTTTAAAGAAAGTGTTTGCTTTATTTCTCATATCTTTGTAGATAACTGGTATCACTCCCAGACAGGTTTGTTCAGTAGTTTTCCAGATACTTAAGTGAATGGAAAACCTACTTAAAGAGGTTGTTCCACATCATTAAGCAAGTCACAGTTCTCAAGCAATATGGGGAGGAAGAAAGATCTTTCTGAAGATGAAAAGCATGCAAAGTCTTGCAAAAGACATGAAAACAACTAATATTTTGCGAAAACTGAATAGAGATTATCGAACTTTCAAAAGATTTATTAATGATTTAGAGAACAGAAGAACTCGGTCAGATAAAGGCTTGTAAAGGAAAGTTTCAGTCAAAAACAGGGCTGTCGCAGTGAAGGAATTTCCCTTGTGATAATTTTGAGTGGCTCAATAGCACGATATGTGGTATTATCGCCATTCATTTATATTTATTTATTGCTATATAAATAAGTGTTATGATGTGATCAGTAGGCATGAAAATGAGGACATTTTCAGTAACCAATGAAACCAAAACTAAACAGAGCGTTGAAACAGGAAGTGAAGTAAACAGAAGAGAATGTCAAAATAAGGGTCCACATAAATCTGACAATAAGCTTGTTGGGCTATTGTTATATATGTAAAACAGTTAGTTCCGATCCTCGAATCTGACTGGACAAGAGGCTTTCTGCTGATATTCCACCAGTATCAGCAGCACTACACCTATCTGCCCATTCTAGACAGGCTGTCAGTCAGTGCAGTAACATTGTTACACCACTAAGTTGCGGCAAGGGACTATCTTTGAGCGAGTCATTAAACCCTTAAACCGTTCATTCAACGAACACGCTTAAAAAAGCTGATTCATTTAAAGATCAACATGTAATGAAACAAGCTGTTAATTATTTTAACTTTGAGCTCCACTTTTCAAGGCTCAGCAGACCAGCAATGCGTCGCATGGTAACGCTGAAGCTTCACTTAATAGAGATCATATACGACTTAGTTATATGATATGAATATATATGACTTGACCTCAAAGACAGACGAAGGTAATCGCACGCGCTCAGTCGATCTCTCTCTCTCACTCATTCACTGTCTGTTTAGGCTTGTTAAGTTCAAATCCATGGAGCCTCTGTACAAATAACCATGGTAAACAGTCTTATTATCATTATTAACTTATTTAACATTCAATACGGGAGTGAACTGTCTGAATCTACTCCAGTAGATTACTCTTAAAACAGAAAGAAAACATGTGAATATCGCGGTTGTTTGCATTCCTCTGCGGTTGGCTTGTCAGTATCGCGGTATTACAATATTGCGGTTAAAAGAGAAACGTTAAAAAAAGAAACTCTATCCTGACTGGAGTAAATTCAGACGGATCGCTCCTGAACGTGAGAATAACGGAGGAGTAATTGGTGTGTTCTGTATCTTTGCATTTGCCCTTCAAGGTTTGCAGAAACAGAGAAACTGTCAAGGCCACATTTGCCCAAACTAATTCAAGAACGCATGACATGTGTCGGCTAAATGAACGACTACAGAATGACCTATAGCGTCCACGGCAGACATCAACAATCGATCAATATTGGATTAACCTCGTCTCTGCTTTCATTTGCTCTCTGACCTCGTAACAAACACTGTGTTTCATAAAGAGTCACTTTGGCAGATGCCTGACGGGCCCCTGGATTTATTTTCCAGGCCACAATTAGATAAGGAAATTTAAAAGACTTCTACAATAACGCTACAAATGGTAAACTACGAAAAATGCTGTGATCGCCAGAAATGAATTGCATGAAAAAATCATATCATGAAGAATCGAAATTTCATTGAACTTTTTCCTTTGAATTATTAATCTTTTACAATGCGAATCAGCTTTATAAAATCTTATTATAATGGACCTCATGTAGAAAACTTAAATAATAATAATAAAAGTATGATGTTTTATGCCCACTTAAAAAATTAAAAAAATCTCTCTTCTCCTCTGGTCAGACTGAAAAAAAAAGAAAATCCTGCCCAGAATCATTCACGTTGACTCTGAACTCCAGTGACAGAGTCTCGTAGCATTGCTGGCCCCCACTGGATACATTTTCACAGGCCTTTTCACAGACAAAGAAAACAAACTTGTCTCTGGAGGGGTTTTTAAAGTTAGTCCAGAAACGAGTGAGAGGAAACTGGGGGACTGAGGGAGATTTTCACTCGAATCACGGAAAGTGAATTGATTACTTCCAAAGCTAATTTGAAGGAATCAGAGGTCACAGCAAACAATGGAAGCACTAATTAAACTGCGTTGATATTTCTGCATATAACGGAGTTAGACTTTGAGTTTCTGAGATGAGCACATCATCTAAATCAAGATAAAAATAAACCACTTTACATTTCTCAGTGGGTTTGCACCATTATCACATCACTACTACATTGAAATACAGGACGACGTACCTAAGAAGATGCACACAAAGGCATCTTGACTACTGTAGCTAGATATCTAAACAACAGGTGAATATATGGGTATTTCCCAGAATTCGGGCCTATTTCTGTCCACAGGGCGTAATTCTATTAAAAACGAATTAAATCTAATACATTTTAGCACCACTAATTAGTATAAACAAAAACAAGCCTAGACTTTTTTTATGGCTGTTCTTACTAATGATTTTAACACATTTTATTGGTGTTTTTTGTGGTACAATATCTGTGTTTTGGTGTTGTCCGCCACCAGAGTTTTCACATGTCGTGCCATATCTCAAACATTATTTATCACAAATTAATTTAAAAAAATATGCATATGAATTAAATGTTACCTGAACTAATAAACTACATGCACAGATTAAGCATATATATGCATTTTGTACTTTATTTAGCTTAATTTCTACCTGTCACATGGTTTAGCTGTCATTACCAACACGCTCTGCATAAAGGCACTTTTTAACTTTTTTCATCAAAAGTTTATTTGGTAGCCATGGTAACCTAATAGCATAGTGGAGCACATGGATTTCAGGCTGCAAGACTGATGCCTTGATGTCCAGAAAATTAAGTAAATCTACTCTTTATTTTTTGTGTTGGGCATGTACACTTATTATGCGTCATTACCATATGTGTTGTATTTCTGTTTTTTTCAACATTTTTGGATTATTTTTATCACTTTAATAGTTAAAATGGTGTACATTACATGCAGAAAGCTAGCTACACTTGCTTAGTCATCATCTTTGCTAGCAAGGCTAGTTTTTTGACAAAAATGTCATTACCAGCACAGTCATTACCAGCACATTACAGCTTGTGCTGGTAATGACAGGTTGTGGTGGTGATGACGGCAGATACACACAGTTCCTGTTTGGTCTTTCATAATCAGATTAAACTATGATGTTTAAACCAATTAATAGCTGGTGTGTTTTTTTTTTTTGGTCTGAAGTCACTTAGGCTCTTAAATTACAATAGGTTATGATCAGTGATTTGTCATCACCGCAACAAACTGTCATTACCAGAACGGCAATGTCATCACCATCACCATCACCATACATATTTTTGCCAATAAATTATGTACACATCACAAAAACATCCTACAATTATATATATATGACAATGTTGGACAGTCTAAATTATCACTGTATTAAAAAAGTTTTGATATATGGCATTCACTTAAAATAAGCTTATATTCCAAGCCAGGGTAGATTGATGAATCAGAAATGTAGATTAATGACTATAATTCATCTTACAAGTAAAAATCAACAATCCCATTAAGTTCAAGATAAAATAGATTCCATGTGAAACCACAAAATGTTTTAAAAGCACTGATTTATCATTTAAGTTTAATTTTTTTATATATATTCGATGATGTGATGGTAATGACACATTTACTTGACATAGTTAAAAAAAATGGCAAAAAATCATAAATTCCCTTATCTTATGGTCTCAACCAAGCTCATAACGTTGTTCATGACTTAAGGACTGATAATTTGATGTATACCAATTAGTCAAATTTGGGATTTTAATTTTCAAAATTGCAGCAACCCAATTTGGCCCTTAATCTGAGAAATGCCCATATAATGTATAACTTTTTAAGCGTGACCCAGTGTGACGTGTCTGCTGTGTAAAATCCCCAGAGATTCTCCTTCTGAACCAAGGGAGCCCCAGATATCAATCACCTGTTCCGAAAGAAAATTCCCTAACTGCAATGATGAATAACTCCAAACATGAAGTTTGATAAATTATAAACAGTGTATAGGGAAGTAAACACATCCTCACCTCAAAACACACACACACACACACACACACACACACACACACACACACACACACAGACTGTGTAATAAAGAAATCACATTCTGTACGCAGTCTTTGCCTCAGGAGCTCAGAAAGAAAGAGAGACAGGAACTGAAACTGTGTTAGTACTCTTTACTGAACACAGCACAATATATACTGTATGCTATTAAAAATCAGTGTTTGAAGCAGTATGCACCAATTAATGTTCCAAACAGTAGTGTGGTTGTCACATGACCACATTTAGTTGTATGTTTCTCTCAACTCAAGTGAAATTCATTTACTATCTTGGAAAATAATTAGCTTGCCAAAGCCCTAATTTAACTAAGGCCTAATCCTGGCTTAATCTAAACCCTGTCTGTGAAACCGGGCCTTACTGTCTGTTGGCAGATCAATAAAATAATGATTTAAGAATAAGTAAAAAAAGAAGCACTGCTTAGTTAATTTTTCACAGTGGAAATAGAAAGTCACATCAATCAAGTTGTATTGTGGGATACAGTGGCTCTGTTCCAAAATCTAGTGAGCTGCCTTGCTGTTTACTAAGCAACTGCCTTTCAAACAGTGTTGTTCTTGTTAACTAAAACTAATAAAATTGCTTTTGTTTATTGAAATCAAACTGAAATAAAATTAATATTAGATGAAAAACCATAAAACGTAAAAATGGGAAATGTTGCTGTACCAACTAAAATAAGTTTAAGTACTAAAATTAGTAAAAGTGAAATACAAATAAATTAAAGCTAAATAGAAATATAAAAAAACTCAAAAACTAATAAAAATGACAAAAGCACATTACAAAATAACTACAAATAAATTAAATGAAAATATAAAAATAAAAGCTAATTCAATATTGATAAATATCAATAAATACTATAATAATATATAAATAATATTAAAATAACGCTGCCTCTAAAGCAGCATGCTGACTGAAATGGAACCTAATAAGTAACCAATTTGGAACTTTCTACATAGACATAATGTGTCCGAAAAGTAATGCTTGATCTACACTTGAAGCATGTAAGCTATGCAATGCCATACTATAATAAGCATAAAAATGCACAGCACACACAAATAACTGTTTTACTGTGTGGAAACCTATCTCTCTCTCTTTCTCTCTCACTCTCTCGCTCCCTCCAGTCCTGACAGAGAGATATATGATGAGGTCTGCCAGGAGCACAAACATGGTCTTACCTTGAGAGGTTTGGGTGCATATATATTTCTTGATCAAGGCATCTGTGGGTTGAGTGTAAAGGCTGAGGGCGTATTTCAAGGACTTGAGATCGGGGCTCTTTTCCAGGAAGGTTTTCTTCAGACCGTTTCCACCTGCATGGAAATATTGCTGAACGGAGAAACAAAAGCACTGGTTACTAAAAGAGTCAAACATGCTGCTTGTAGCTACGGATCAGTCATCCATCACAGCCTTAACCTGAAAAATCATCCATTCATTGTGACTGAGCAAAATAATCATATAAAATAAAAGTTTATAGCAGTCACTGTGGGAAGTAATTCGGGGATATTCCCAACAAAGCTACTCCTACTAAGCAGCACATATATGTCATAGAAATCATAGTTAATTTTCTTTTATCTCAATATCACAAATTAGTGAAAATGGGGCAGAGCTGGAAGAAAACAAAACTAGAGGTATTTTGTATTACGTGGAAGGACAGTGTTACTGCAAACAGAAAGGCATTAAAGGGTCATGAAATCCAAAAAACACATCTTTTGAGATGTTAACAGATATGAACAGGTTGCACATCAATAAAAAGAGGTTATTTTATAATTTTTCTGAGCTATTTTATTCTTATGGTTGAACAAACATAAAGTTGAACCAACGTCATGAAAAGTGGTCCAAATTGCAGCAGCTAGAGTTCTTACTAGAACCAGGAAGTAGGTCATCACTGCATTGGCTCCCTATTAAATATTGTATACATTTTAAAATCGTATTACTTTTAAAGCCCTAAATGGTTTAGATCTTTAGCACTTGAGCGAGCTCTTAACGCAATATAGTCCTTCACGTCTATTGGGGTCTCAAAATATCAAAATCGGTCCTTTTCCTATTTAGATCCCAAACTCTGGAACAGTCTTCCTAACGTTATTCAGGGGGCAGACACACTCTGTCCGTTTAAATCTAGATTAAAAACACATCTCTTTAACCTAGCATACACATAACACACTATCACATTTCTATAAATTCAAATCCGTTAAAGGATTTCTGCATAAAGTACGTCAACCGGAACCAGGAACACTTCCCACAACATCCGATATACTCAAGAATAATGGCATCAACACTAATATTAGTCTTGTCTGAACCAGACAAGTCCTCTGCACAGACCCCAATTACCAGCTTTGTCTCCATACAGTGTGATGAATCCAATCTTTAAGCAGAAGGAACTGGATGAAATATTACCAAATGATACGAATCCACAATCTGTTTTCTGACTTGTGATGCAGCCTGGAATGAAACCAAACAATGTTCGTTTGTTGGCCAAAGGAGAACTGGCCCCCAGACTGAGCCTGGTATCTCCCAAGGTTTTTTTCTCCATTTTGTCACCTGATGGAGCTTGGGTTCCTTGCCACTGTCGCATCTAGCTTGCTTAGTTGGGGACCCTTAATATGCAACAATATCTGACTGAACTGACACTATCGGATGAGAACTGAACTCAGCTGAATGATGACATCACTGTTTTCTGCAGAGCTGCTTTATAGTAGAATTGAACTAATTTAATAATTGATAATCTTTATAATGGAACTGAATCAACACAGAACTGACTTAAGCTGAACAATTACACTTTTTCTTTTTAAAGCTGCTTTACAGCCTAATTGAACTGGTCACATCATTGAATCTGTCAGGGTTCTGCCCTGGCAGCCTTGTCTGTGTTGTCTTTGTTTCATGTTTCTATGTTTGTCTTGTGTTTTATCACATGCCTCTGTCTTTCTTTGTGTTTGCCATGTGCTCCTCGTGTCCCGCCTCCTTGTTTCCTGTTACCACGCCCCCTTGTTTAGTCCTGTTTTTTACTAATTGTGCTCACCTGATCCTCATGTGCTCTGGTCCCCTTTATATTGTGCCTCATTCCCTCATGTCTTTGCTGGTTTGGGTGGTGTGTGTACTTTGTGCACTTGAAGTTATCCTAACACTTGCTCTAGTTCTTTTTTAACCTTGGCTGCGTTCGAAACTGCATACTCAATGAGCAGGTACTTAATTTCAACAAGTACTTACTTAACGAGCGCTAAAAGAGTAGGTACTTTATAGCCTGATCTTGTTAAGTATGAATGCGAACCGGACATCTGCCATGTTGACGTTATCATGTGACTTACGATGCGTTATCACAAGCGCAACAACTTAAAAGATTTGAACGACACGTTTAATTCATCTATCTGTAAATATCTTGATATTGATTAAACTTGCTCATTTTGTGGTCCTTTTGAAGAAACTGCTGCCCATTTATTTTGTGAATATATGTAGGGTTGATTTAAGTTCTTATATTTAATCCTACTAATGTGACCCACCATTTTATCCTTAACAATATGATTTATTTTTATTACGAAATCCCAAAATTGTCATCTCTTGAATATCCCAGATAAGTCTATTTGATGTGATGTTTACATCTGGAAGACGTATTTTTAAGAGTGTTTGCTCATCTGCAATACGTCTATAGGACGTTTCCTGTCAGATGTCAAATAGACGTTTAGAAGATGTCTTTAAGATGTAATGATTTAGAATGCATGTTAAACTGACATCTTCTAAACGTCTATTTGATATCTGACAGGAAACGTCCTATAGACGTATTGCAGATGAGCAAACACTCTTAAAAATACGTCTTCCAGATGTAAACATCACATCAAATAGACTTGTGCTATCTGGGTATGTTGTTCATTTCTTTATTTTATATCCAAACATTTTCATCCACAAGCAAAAGTGGCTTACTACTTTGTTTTCCTCTTTTTCTTGTTGAACTTAACTCTCGTTTCATCCCTCAGGGCTATAAATAACAAAAAATGCATTTTTTAAATGTATTATAATGAATTATTTAATCAAATATATATTAAGATATTCAACCTTGTAGGTTCTTTTTTCCTGTGTATAAAATCTCATATTATGTATGCAATATACCTCATTACATCAGTAACTCGACAGCCCTAGAACGGTTTTCCTCAGCGTTTGTAATGTCTGCACAAAGGAGAGGTTGGGCAGCTGTGTAAAGATTCGTCTTTGGAGAAAACTGTTGATTTTATACTCGTATCATTAATATTACACCAGAATGAATTGCATTGCTATCCCACCCCAAAACATACAATAATAACAACGATAAATGCTGACCAATACTTAATTATATTACTTTTTACTGAAAATTATATAATTCAATGAAACAAACAAAATGTAATGTATGTCATATGACATAGCTATGCATGAATACACTCTAGATGTGTATTTAGTGAACATATCTACATTTTCATTCAAACAATTAATTAAAGCATTAATTAAATAATTATATTTTATTTACTGACAACAATGAGAAATATTAATAAATTAGTAAAAGAATGAATGAAAGTCATCATCACACAATAAATAAATGCATATACAAGTCAACACATGAAACAAAGCTTTATTCAAACTACAATCATGTATGTAGGCTACAGGCGCTGAACCACATCCTACTGCCATCTCAACACAGCGGTTCCCATTCTGCGGCTTTATTCTGATGAATCAGCTGACCGCCAGAGGTGAGCCGTTCCTTCGTGCCGGAGGTTGTTGCGTGATGTGTTGTGCTTCACAATCTGAGGCAATAAGGGCAGGTGGAGTGATGGAGGGTATCATCCATGGCACCATTTCCAGGATTCAGCTCTGTGCTCTTCATCCTCAGTGCTCACACCAGTCTGCAGACTTCAGATCCTACAAAAATGCACAAACATAACACATTTTAACAGCACAATGTCATTTGATTTCAGTATTATTTAGAAGACAAAAACGCTTTTTTTTCACAAATGCCACCATCATCTTTCCTTGCAGGTCCTGCTCCACCACAAAAGCTGTGCAGCAAATCCACAGAAATCAAGAATCAGAAAAGTGCTGCAATAGCTCTGTTTGAAATTACAATAATTAAAATAAACTACAACTTAATATTTAAATAGTTGTTGTTATTCATTTCTGTAGTATACTCACTCAAAGCCTTTAATGGCAGCATTCAGCTTCATGAGCCACTCTCCACTGGATAAACACACATTTGTTCATCTGTCCCTGTAACATCCTAACAAGATTCACATAACCTCTGTGATTTATGAGCTCAACACTACATTTACATGTTGAGGTTGTTTTAACTTTTTATCCAACATAAACGTTCCTCAATTTATCAACAGTACTAATGGACAAATAAAATAGAAAACTTATGTTTAGTTACTTTATAGATTTGTTCTACATAATAGCACACATACATCACTCAGATGTCTATTTCATGTTGTGATGTGCTCTTCTTCAATACTTATTGAAGATTTTCCTGTCAGATGTAAATAGACATTTAAAATAAGCGTCTTTAAGATGTATGGTTTATGTAAATCCACTTTAAAGATGTAACTTACGTGTGCTTACTGGAGCTCCCCTGTTAGCTATACATAATAAAACGTGTTTTTACAGCAAAATCACAACTATACTATACTGTCTAACGTCTTTACACCTTCAACAATTCAACAGTTTACTCTCCAGTAGTTCAACACATGCAATTTTAACACAAGGGACCGTGTTTACTCACATTTGAAAACACCCGCGTCGCTGATCTCTGCGATTGTTGATAATGACGTATCCTCTCGCGTGGCCTCCTGGGATAGAAATGTATCCATCTGATGAGCACTCGAAAATCTGGCCGGAAGCAGTAAGCCATGCGGGAACTTCTCGCCTACTCTTTTATGAATACTGATGTTTCGGACATACTTTTTCTTGCACGTACTGTTTTCGCCTACTATATAGTAAGAAAGGCATATTCAAACGCACTATAAGTATACGCACGTCCGAATCTCGCGATAATTAGTACGTCACCCAGGTAATTCTCGCCTACTCTTTTATGAATACAGAGGATTCGTACATACTTTTTCGCTTGCCTACTCTTTTTCCCCTACTATATAGTAGGGAAGTATGTAGTTTCGAACGCAGCCCTTATCTCCAGTATCAGAGTATCCTTGTTGCTATTTTGTTTTTCTCTTGTCCTATCTTGCTAAGCTTTAGCTCTTGTGCATTATAACCTAGTTTGGGTTCTCTTTTAGTTATTTTCTTCAGTTCTTATTTTCCCTGTTAAGTGGAAGTCTTGCTTTTCTTTTTCAATTCCAGTTTTTTCTTTCTAGGATCTTAGT